TAAAGTGCTGCTTACCTGTCCAGAAGTAGAGTTGGTTTTGGGCCTTAATGCTTCTGACTCTCCTTGGCTATATGATAGCTCTTTGAAATTAAGCAGAGAAACAAATAAATAGATGCCTCGTTACTTTCCACGTCTGTTCAAACTTACTTGCTGTGAAGGCACCCTTGGAATACAACATAAGTAATGGAGAATTTTGTAGGAGCCCTTTATTTAAAGCGATACTAGCCTGTCTTTGCCCCTCAGGCTCAAGCCTGAACCCTGCAGTTGCTGAGACTCTCTTAGTGCTACCTGTGCCCAGTGGGGTTTTTCTGAATGCATTAATGTGATCTTCCCAGGAACAGGCTCATAAATCCAATCTGCCTAAAAGTTTTATTTGATAAGGAAATTGCAACATACTATTGAAGCTGCTTTGTTGCTGCGTGGTCTGTGTTGTGTGTGATGAACAAGCTTCTTATCTCTTCCCTTGTGCCTGCTGAAAGGAAACTAGACAGGCTAATCTCTAGTGATGCTAAATTACCCGTGTTGATTTGGAGCCATGGCTTGTTATTTTAAAGACCTTAGAATATGTATGGTTTTTCCTCCTCCTTCCTGCTTTTTTCTTTCTCCTGTTCCCATGTAAGGGTGGTAGACAGGTTTGTCACCCTGATTACATGGCTCTGTATGCTGACTGGTGCTGGAGCAGCCTGGGTGAGTTTTAGTTAACCAGAGATACCGCCTCCCTGCCTGCTTGTGTGCTATAATCGCCTTGTCCAGTGGCCTGGTATGTTATTGTCTGCACTAAGAGTTGTGATGATGTTGTTTCTGAGGATTTTAGTAAATTAGGGTCTGTGTCTGTCAAACTTTCTGGGAAACCTCCTGTGGGCTTTGCCCCTGTTTGTGCCTGAAGTACTAACTTCTGATTAAAGCTGACCAGAGTGAGTTCCTAATTCTGCTGCTACTTGTGATGGTGTCAATTAGGAGTTACTCCACTGAAGCCAGTGTATGAGTGTAATACTGGAATTATGGAGAGAAGAATCCTGGCCTTCAGTATTTTGGTCATTCTTATGGTTTTTATCCTGTGCATGTGATGATGTAAGAATCATACATTTTATTTATTTAAAAACTTTTGGGGTCACGTGATTGTAGATGAGAGCTTAAAAATATGACCCCTAGATAGAGGCCTAAGAAACAGAACACACGGAAAAAATATCCTCTTATTGTCTCTCAGTTTTTAAGCTAGTTTCATGATTTTGGTGGGCAAGGGTATGGGAGAGGAAAGGTAGAAGAGCCCTGATTTCTCAATGTTTGATTGGCAGTAGTGTTTCATTGGTTGTTCACTCAGCTTTATTGTGGCTGTTCTGTGGTTTGCTCACAGGTAGGGGAATATTTCCTAAAGCCCTTAAGTGAGTTAGCAGCTTAAAGTCCAGTTTCAGAGGCACCTTAGTTAGACCCAGATGCTGAAAGGTGATTAGGTACCTATCTCCCCTTGATTTCTGGTTGATTTCAGTAGTTAGGCACCGAAATACCTTTAAAGCTCTGGGCCTT